AAAATTTATATACATTAAAATTTAATGTGTATAAAGTTTTAAATGTCTGACATTTTTAGAAATATAACAGTTCATAACATTCTCAGAGTATGTTAATATATCCATTTAAATCTAAATGTCATTTAAATGAAATCCTCAAGATATTTTATATCATCTTACTTTGCACGTGTCATGTCAATATCTCATATCAATATTTATCGTATAGTGCATTATTTTACACATCATGCAATATTTTACATATCATGTAATATTTTTCATATCATAATATAATTTTTTCTGTATCATGCATTATTTTACGTATCACGCAACATTTTAACTGTCAAAATTTTTATTACATTTTATTTAGTTATTAATGATTTTTTTCATCCTATTTACTATGACAATCTATATATTCTGGTGCTGTATTTTGTATTATGTATATATAATTTTTAGATATTCATCAAATTTTAAAAATTAATTAATAAATAAATATACATTTATGAAAAAATTTATTCATTTAAAAATTGTTTTCTCCAATCACTGATTCACTGATGCAATTCACTTTCTTTGTTTTCCAATTTTTTTTTCTCTTTACTCACTGGCTATCTAACGAGCCATGTTTAGTTACGGTTGTCATATCGGCCCTATATTCACTTCAATCATTATGCAATGATGATTGCTAAAGATCATATCATCTTTCATCCAGACTAGCATAGATTTATAAGTTTAATACAAACACGTTATTCTTTTTTTCAGAAATGAAATTTTCACTTGTAATCTAACTTGATAATTAAAGGTTTAGCAAATTAATAATAAAATTAAGGGCTTTACATGCATACCTTCGATTTAGCCACAGCTAGCACCCAAGTCTTTTAAATATAATATAATATAAAATCAAATTTAATATAAATATACAGTAAAATGTTTAAATTATATAAAAATTGATAACGTTTTCGTGAAGAAAAAAATTTAAAATTAAATGTTATCCCAAAATTCAAGTACGATTGCGCTAATTGTGCTATAAAACGTTGCTATGGAAAAAGTAATCTGATGCTTCAGAATTACTAAAAACACGAAAAAATAGTTTGATCATTGCGATACCATAATTTTTGGAAATATTTTGAGCATTGTGTCATTTACTGGTCATGTACTATCCTGTTTTGGTGAACAAAATTGGCCATCCATATCGTCTAATTTTAGGAGTTTTTAGGCCTTTTTTAGGAGTTTTTAGAAGTCTAGGGTTAACTCCGACAAGCCTCTCACACTTTGAAAGATGAAATTGGGTTTAATATCAATGAAATTATGTCCCACTTATGTCGAAAAAAATATGCAAAAATTAAAATAAACTTTTCCAAGACCCGATATGCTATTCTATGCATAATACTGTACTGCATAGTTTATGAACAAAAAAATTCACAATTTTAATTGAAAACCTGCGTTTTCTATACAAATTACTTCTTGTATGAATTAATACTCAATAACTCGATAAGTTATGCAATACATAACGGTATAGTATGTAGTTTAGAATTCAATAAAAATTCACAATTTTTAAAATAAAACATGTGTTTTCTATCAAAATTACTTCTTGTATTCTCTCACTCTTACCTAAGACTATTATAAAGCAATATTAATTTTTACAATCATTTTCTACAAATTCTACTATCAGCGAAACAAACATAAGCTATTATCAAAAAACATTTTATTTCATGATCCTCTTTCTTAAAATGTTACTTCTTCCTACCTATGTGTTAACTTATGTCGTGTTTTCAAACTTACTTATTATTATTTTTTAATGATTCTTATTTCATGATTTCATTCCCTCAAATTTCTTTCTAAAACTTTCTATAATAATTTAGAAAAAATTCGAAATTTTTTAATAAAGTTCGAATGTTTTTTTTTTGTTGTTGAGGAAAAAAGCCTTAAAAATTGAATTAAAATCCAAATTAAGTGTCTTAAGGAAAACAAATCTAGAAAAAAAATTATAAGCTCATAAGCATAACAACCATCTTCATGAATTTCTTTTAAATTTACGAGAAAAATAAGAAATGTGATGATAAGCTACCAGGAAATTGTTTGTAGTCGATTACTGAATAGTTTGAGTTCGCTGTTGTTTTGTCACTGTTATACATCTACAGAAACAGATGTTCCTCGTTACAAAATGTAAATAAGTTTTTAGCTGTCTAATAAGGATAATTATAGTTTAGTTTTTAAATATCTACCAATTGAATTAAAGTATTTTATAACATTTAATTTCCATCTGATTCTGTTCTGCTAAGCCTAATTAGAATTAATCTTAATCTTCTATCCGTGGTACGCGTATGCTTGATTTACAAACAATTATGGCCGGGATAGCCTGGTTGACAAAGCGCTGGACTCACACTCCTGAGAACAGGAGTTTAAATCCAGCCAACCGAAGACTCTCGGTGTAGTAAATGTTGACTGATGCACGCTAAATATATCGGGTGACAAAGTCCTCCATGTTCCCATAACAAATTATACCTCAGATAGTACTCAATTGGCGATTGAACGTTCTCTGGTTCAGGTCATAATTACGATCTGCGGATGAATGAAAGGATGTATGAAGGATGAGTCCGCCTTATATGTGGCAGAAGCCGAATTCTTGGACATAGGTGGAGCCACTGGAAACCAAGAACAATCGCATCCCTTGCCTTAGTGGCCTACGACAACAATAACTACAAAAAACTAATTATATTTATAAAATAAGTGTGTATTTCCTAAACTAATTATTCTTATTTTAAATTGCATTTTAAAAATAGCTGTGCTGACTTGCATCCTTATCGTATCTTATAAAATATATAAAAAAAATGTTCATCAACTTAACAATCGTCTTCATGAATTTCTCTTAAATTTGTGAAATAAATAAGAAATGTGATAATAAGTTTTCAGTTAATTGTTTACAATCAAATTTTTTTAATAATATTATTTAAGTTTTCGATTAAGTTTTTAATTAAGTATTCGATTAAACCTAATTCGAATTCTTCTTAATATTTTCTCCATGCTACACGTAGGTATGCTTTAAAAACTAATTATATTTTTATAATAAGTGTGTGTGTCAGTGCGCATGTTTCCTAAATTAATTGTTCTTACTTTAAATTGTATATTAAAACTTACTGTTCTGACTTGCATGCTTATGATATGTTGTTGTTATTATAAATGTTAGTGTTACAAAATATCTAATTGGTGGCAGCGAGTTTACACCAATTAGTGTAAAAGGACATTTTTGGTGCTTGACCAAGCCAGGAACTCTCCTTGATTTTTGGTGTAATAAAACATGAATAACCAAATTTACCTGTGGTGTTTCACTGTCACACTTAGTAAGGTAGTTGCCATCATTTTTGGTGTTGAAATACACTAAAAGTTTTTGCAATGTAAGTAATAACAAAAAATAGAAGAAAGAAGAAAAAAAGATCTCTGAATTTCTTATATTTTAGTTAATCTCTTTCAATCCTTCCACTACCTATTAAGAAGAAAAAAAATCTTGAATACTGCGCTACTTTTCCCTTGTTTAACTGTTGCCCTAATGTAAGAAGGAAAAATCAAAAATTCATTTAGGCCTGCGGCATATTTGAAATAAGTTTGATATCAAACTTCGATCAGGAAATGTAATCAATTAATTGAACCGGCTTAAGAGACAAGAAGATTAAATTATCATTTTTCTTTCTTCACATATCCTTTTTTCTGCTTACATATAGCAGTTTAAAATTATTTTAAATAATATTTTATTCATTTATGCGTACAACATTTTTTAAAACTGAAAAACCATTAACTGCAACATGAAATAAGAGATTACAGAAAACCAAGTATTAAAATATTTTCGCTTAAAATATTTTACATTTAATTAATAAAACTCAAATAAAGTGAAAAATATTTTAAATTTGTTCTTATAAATAAAACAAAACTTACATGTAATTAAATTAAACTTTGAACATATTAAAATTTAAATTTGAACTATTTAACATTTAAATTGAATTTTTGGAATTTTGCATACATTTAGAATTATTAAAAACATTACTAAGCACATAATTTCCAAATTCTGAGTGCAGAATTTCTGCATAATTTCCAAAACCCCGCTATAATTAGCTGAATTAGGTTTTTAAGTGTCTTGTTTAATTCATTTTATAATTAAACAATTTTCGGATACAATATTAGAATAAATATCAACACTCTCTCCGGTTTTAAATAGGCATGCTCTGAAAAGATGCTAAACATGCTATGCTTTTTATGCTATGCATATTCTTCTCCAAAGAAAACAAAAAATGACATAGTTTGAATGTCTTAAAGTAAAGTTTAAATTTAAACTAAATATACCATCTACGTGGAAAAAGTATACACTGAACTTTTAAACGGACATAAAGCTTAAACGTTAAAAACGTTAATTTTCGTTTATGAACAAATCGTTAATTCGACGAGTCTTAAAAGTAAATCATTCAAATCAGTAATGAATAATTTTCATTTTATTGAAACATTTTTTCAATTATTAAGACATTAGATCTTAAATGCTTTACATATTTAAAAAAAACTGTAGTTTTTCATAGTACACTGAGAATAAAAAGTATGATCAAAATTAACAGAATACAGTTAAATTTACCGTGTTTCTGGCTCTATGCTAACACGGAAAAGCAAGATTAGTTATACGGAAGCGCTTTGGTAAAGAGTTTTTGCAAAATTAACAATAAAATATTAGTTTTACTACCATGCTGTTTGGTAGATAAAATTCGGAAATGTAAATGTAATATGGTATGTATAAATGTGGTAAAATTTGATAATTTTATCCAAAAATCGGTAATTTTAACAGCACTAATATAGTTTGAGACGCTGCAGAAATGTTCAGTTTGATAATCTCTACTTTATTTCGTAAACACTTATTAACTTGTTTTTTTATCGTTATTTTACTTTATTTTATTAAGAAAACAAGTGTCAATTTGGGTTTTTAATGTGCGATATAAGTTAAAATCAAATGGCATTTCAAAGTAGGAAAATTGAATCAGGACATCCTGAAATAGGTAGGTAGGTACTTTATTTACGCATAATGGAATTTAATTATAATATGAGCTGCATAATGGCAATTGTCGACAGTCTGGGAAACATCCTGGAGGATAATGCGAAGACGTGCCATCGCAATTTTTATCCTCTGTAGAGGGGATAACTCCCCTTCTTGGATATCACGGCGGCCTGCGCGTGAAGTCGAACACTTTACGATAGAGCAGTTTAACGAGGACCGATACCGCGCACTTTCGGTCCCTACGCAGACTGATCAAACTTGTCACCCACCAGCTTGCTGACCGCAGTCAGTGATACTTGACTTTTGTGCCCTACTGGAAACTGCGTCTTTGCAATCAAGACCATCCTAAAATAGAAGCGTAGAGTTAGCGAATTCAAATCACACCGCAAACCTGGATGCATTTATTTATTTATATATCGTCCCCCACGCATGCACAGTCTTGTGTTCTTATTACATTTCTCGGCTTATATGCTCTTGTTAAGTCAAAATACAAATAGCACAAGATAGACAAAGACAGCACAAACATACTCTGCTGGGACACGGTGGGATAAATACATCTCTGTAATGTCTTTCTCAAATTTGTGCTATCTGTTCTTTAACATGACAAGAGCTTATAATAAATCATATTTTGTGATGAGCATAAGAGCGTGCATAGATGTGAGTAACAATGGATAAATAAATAAATTCTTGAACTAGTTTATAACTATTATTATTATTTAAAGCAGTCTTGTTTTTCCACCAAACGCTATTTAAAATTGAGATAGCGGGCTCAACAAATCGTCACCATGGTGTGTAACAGTAAATAAATAAATTTGGTTTAGATACATATACAGGCTCATGTGCTTAATACAAAGAGCGGCTTATCTCTAGTAAGAAAAAAAAATTGGTTTAGATACAATTTGGTTTAGATACATATACAGGCTCATGTGCTTAATACAAAGAGCGGCTTATCTCTAGTAAGAAAAAAACACAGATGGCACAAAAGTTAGAAAAACAACACAAGGATATTGAAACCCCTATTTCTGCTTCATAGTATATAAAGAACCTGATGTCATTAAATTTATCAAAATTCAAAGGATTAAATAGGCAGGCCACATTAAAGAATGGAGGATGGCAGGATAAAGTTTTCTGTGATTACCTAACCTAAGATTTTTAGACTGCCTTGAAAAGGACCTGCAAGTTTTAAAGATAATAAACTGGAGAACCTTGGCTAAGGGAAGAATGTCTTGGCATAGGCTTGTTGAGAAGGCCAAGGCTCATCCCTGGCTGTCGTGCCAATGAGAAGAAGAGAATTTTTGCTTCATAGAGTTTGGCAGAACGACAAAAACCCGCTGCAATTCAGGCCTCAATAGTATATGAAGGTTTTTTTCTATCTCGCCTTGCAATATTTCTGCTCCACTAACCACTCTGAAACTTGAAATGTTATGAGTTAGAATCAAGCTACAACACTAGATGTATGTTGTTGCTGTCTTTTACAAAAATTCGCTATCTGTTTTTCAAGCTGAAAAGAGTTTTTAAGTCACTCTTTGTATTTACAAAAAAAATCAGATATTTAAATAAATAAATTCCACCAGTCCCTTGAAAGATGGATAAAGCAATCACCATAGTTTGATATATCTAAATTTAGTATCTTTACAACACTTTAATTAACATTTGCAGCCATCATTCATGTTCCTTTATCCTTTGTTGCAATTGATAAATTATAGTAGAATAACAAATAAGAAACAGTCATCTAACTCCCATAAGCCATTTAAATAAACCGCCTTTTTAAATAAGTAATAAAAATGTGAACAGATTATTATCATTCTATTTGGTAAGAGTACATATCAAAAAGTTAAAATTACCAAATAAACGATAAAATTAGGGACAGCTCTGAAGAATACATTTAAAATATTATCGTGATTCTTTAGAGCATGTCATAACAACCATTTATTAGATTAAATTTATTTCTCATTTTTGTATTTGTTACTAAATGTATGTTTATGAAAACTATAATTTTGAAAATTAGAGATTCCGATAAACTGTTCAATATGGGCGAGGGGTACTTTTGAGTGGGTACTTTTTATGGGCGTGGGGTGCTTTCTAGTGCTAGTGCAGATTTCCTCTTTTTCCAAGAATTAGAAGAATTTGAAGCATGTTTTGAAATGCTATCTCTCAGTTTTTGGAAATAATAAAATATTAAAAAGTTAAATATCTCAAACATGCCATTTTAGTATGATATAATAGGCACAACTTCAATTCCCTGTCTTAAGCATGGAAAAAGTAAAAAGAGAAATTACTTAATCATATATCATTAACCATTACTAAGAGCTCATAGCCATTTTTAAAAAAAGCTGTCCGTTCTTAAAAAAGCTGGATTTTTTATTTACCGCAATGGCACTGGTCCTTATTATTCCGGATAACCGGCTGTCTACTGCATCGTTCCCGATTTTTCTCGGCTGTGGAACCCAAAATAGTCTACCCTCTTTTGACGGGATCCCAAGACTTAAGGAATAAATTTCCTTAGCTATTGTGAACAGATTAATTAACGAAAGATTATTATTTACACCAAACGATGAAAAACCAGTGAAGGAACAAGTGTTCCTTTACTGGTTTTTTTTCCCAGTTAAAGAGGGGGCCCCAAATCA